GATTTGGAGAGTCAGTGATTAATAACCCATTCATAACTACAGCATTTCGCTTCGTTATGAATGATGCAACGCCTGGCTCATTAAGACAGCGACTTGCCGCCACCTATTGGCGGTTTTATTTTTAAATCTACAAGTAGGCCATCACTTCAATTCGCTATCATTTATTGCTTTATTTATTATATTAATAATACACTTAATGGAATGTTAAGAATATGACAAAACATAACACAATTGAGGATAGAAAATCTTTGCCTCTATAAAAGGTAAAAAAAAAATGCACTTGTAAATCAATTTAAGGCGGCAAATAATGTCCTTTAACAGAAAAGTTGTGACTGCGGTCTAAGTGGAAGAGATGGGGTATGCAGAAGAATGATAAATGCCCCAGGGGGTACGCCAGTAGTCACTCCCTTCTCCTTAATCTTCAACACAGATTCTGCCTTATCCTCCTTATCACAGATCACCATAGAGATCTCCGCTGGAGAGAGATCCCAGACAAGAGAGATGAATCTCAAACAGTGCTATTAAGATTAAAATCTGAATGATAACATCACAACTTAGTTTTGAGGCATTATCATTACTCACCCAGGTTAAGGATGTGAACCATGGCCTCTAATCCAAGTGTATCGTACAGAGGCACCAAAGCCATGGAGAATGTGTAGCAAGCCATCTCTGTAATAACCCACTGCAGCCAGAAGGGGGAGACAAACAAAACAGCAACATATTAGAAATATCCAGATATTATATAGCCTACCTAGAGAAATCCATTAGCATTCCCATTCATCTCAATGGAAGTTGCTCAGCTGGTGAGCATCGGAAATGTGACTTTGCTCACAGGCATTCAGTGAATTAACTGATTTGTGAAAATAAGCCTATTATATTAGACCACTATTGTAAATGCTTCTATTTTGCTTTTTTTATTTGATATCTCATTGCAAGCTGCATTGTCAGCATAATTTAAGTGAAAATTTAAACTGAAAAATGCAGATGCATTTCAGTATAACTTAGTATTTGGCATGTCCCTCTTGAGCATTTGCAAAACCTGATGATGCCGGCGGCATCATCCAAAATCTTACCTTTTGCAGTTTTTGTTTGTTTGTTTTTCTTCTTTGGCTATTTTAATGGAGAAAACTATATGAACTACATTAGTTAACATTTACCAATAAAAAAATATTCTAAAGCATTTGTTAATATTAGTAAATGTTAATTTTAACATTTAATAACACATTAATAAAATGAATAATTCCATCTGTTAATATTTTTAAATGGAACTGAGCTGACATGGGCCAACAAACAATAAACATTTGTATTTTTATTAACTAACATTAACAAAGTTTAACAAATGTATTACCCATTGTTAGCTAATTGTAATGCATTAACTAACGTGAACTAATAGGACCTTATTTTAAAGTGTTGCCTAGAACGTGACTTTTCAACGGTATCAACATAATATTTATTTTCTCAGAGGAGTAGAAATATTACACTCCGATAAAATATATTTGAATGACTAATATAGTCTGACATTGGACAGTTTTCTTCTGACCTTTTGTTCGAGGAATAATGCATTTGTGACCTAGAGATGCCAAATATTTCCCAGTCATTTAATGTCAGGGTTTAATGACTCAAAAGATCCCAGATTTTCAATCTAGTCTAAGACGCAAGTCTTAAGCGGTTACATATATACATGCGTTTCAGAGGCAGAAACATGGTGAATTTGATTCTTAAAGGGGTCATAGGATGCCCATTTTCCACAAGTTGATATGATTCTTTAGGGTCTTAATGAAAAGTCTGTAACATAGTTTGGTTAAAATTTCTCAATGGTACTGTAAAAACACCTTTTTTTGCCCTGTCAAAAACAGCTCTTTTCAGATCAAGCCGTTTTTGTAGCATTTTCCTTTAAATGTTAATGAGCTCTGCTGACCCCGCCCCTCTCTTCAGAGCTGCTCTCAGAGAGACTGTTTACTTTAGCTGCATTCATCCTGAAACTTGCTAATTAGCACATTATTAGGAAAGGCGATTTGCAAAGATTCATTACAAAACATTATACTTCTGTAGATGAGGCTGGATCATGAATGATTCGCGCGAACATAGACGCATATATGTAGATCAGTGGTGCATTCCCTTCAGAAACAAACGTAATCCACTGCGAGTTCAGCGGCTCAGATGCCGGGAGTAAATGAGGGCTGCTGTTCATTATTACATCCAACAACAGAACACCTCAATCGCTCAGGAGTCATTCTTGTCTACATCTGCTCTGGCAGTGAAACAATGGCGGACTGATGAGCTAACTCAGGGCGGAGCTAAGGTAAGACACCAGTCCAGTCTGTGCTGAAACGCTCAATCTCACAATCGTGGAAGGGGCCTGTCTGTGTGACGTCACACAGAAAGGCATCTGAGATCGGCTCGATTTGAGAAAGGGGGAAACATTTAACAAGATTAAAAAAAAACACTGGGTGGATTTTTATCATTATAGGGTGGTTGTGTACACACACTGCCAACACACATTTCAGTTCAAACTACTTGTAAAAGTGCATGTAGCATTATATGACCCCTTTAAGACTCTAAAAACCAACCTTGAACATAAATATTCAAGATAATTATGAATTCAAGAATTCATGCTCACAAAAAGAAATCAATCTCTGTATGATATACCTCTGGTCTGTTTTGTGCAAAGATGCCCACATACTGCTTTGGGTTTGGTTTGCAACCCTTCGCCAGCAAACCTGATCCCAACACCTGTGCCCTTTCTGCAACCTGCAACAAACACATTACCATGAAAACCACTCAGAGTACTTCTGCTGGGTTATTACATGATTATTATAGAGTAGTAAATGCGTTATAACATGCATTGCTCTCACCTCAGTGTAAGAGATCCACTGATAGGGCTCTCCGGGTTTCCTGAAGCCGAGACACGGGCCATTACCTGCACAACACAAGTAATACTGTTAGTTACTACACAGCTCTCTGGAATACTTGATTCTGATTGGTCACTCGTGAAACACTATGGTCAAGTACATACGTTATAATGATTACTAGCTACTGAACTGTATAACTGACTGATATGCTGTTCAATGTGCTTTACGACCTGTTCATCATGTCTGAGTTTGTTTATTAATGACTTTCTGTTGTCTCGGAGCTGAATAATGACACCATTGTCTTGTTAGAGCTGCAAATGAAGTTTGCATCACTGATTCTCACATTTTTCTGTTTATTACTTTGGAGCTGAAACAGTCTGTATTTTATAAAGTGCTATATAAATAAAGATGACTTAATGACCATCTGATTGTAAATGACTTCTTATTTACTGTATATCTGCTGTTCTAAAACTATTCTTCTTTATTTTTGTCTCATCACAAATGCTTCTATGTTCCATAAATCCAAGCACAAAAATACTTCAAACTCAAGCAATCGACCAAGAAACTATTGTACAATCCATTCAGTGAAGGAAGCTGCATGTGATAAAAGCATTATCGATCTGAAAAAGCCTTGCAGAGCACTGCAGTAAATGAAAAGAAAGAGAAACGGAGTCAGACATCGAATTCATCTGGGATCAGCGGATGATATAGTCACTCGAAATGTTTTGCTGTATATTTATACAAACTGTTTTCAGGCTTTTCAGAGAGAAATCACACAGACCTGCTATCCGCAGTCCTCTCTGGAACATGTCGTACACTGTCTTTGTGTCCTCATAGTAAAACTCTAGTAGATCGTCATCCTTCAGTAAAGCTGAGCGTCTACAGCTCTGATCTCCCTGTAAACGCACACGGACATTAGTATGTGGTATATGACCAGTCATTCAAAGTATATGCATAAGCAAAGCTCCTGCAAAAAAAAAAAAAAAAGTAAATAAAGACTATTGGACCATGTTCTTTTCTTTCTTTTCTTTTTTTTTTTTAAAGTGTGATCTAGTCTGGAGATATTCAGAATAGCATACTAGTAGTCACTAACTTTGCAGTATGTACACAGTATACAATTTATGCATATCCACATAACTCACTACATGTGTTAAACCGTGCAGTAAGCAACCCAAACACAGAGTCTGTGATATTGTATCCCACAATGCAATGCACTCAATTTGACCTTCCATTTCCAATGTGATGAATAAAGCAAAATCAATATTAAATGTTTTTAATACATCTTTCTTAATCTGTATGGTATAAAGCACTATACAAATAAAGGTGACATGTCTTGATGACCGGTTAATTATACATTACCTCATACTCTAAGTATATCTGCTGTTCTAAAGTTATTCATCTTAATATCTCTTACTTCTCAGCTGGAAAAAAAGCATCTGGTCTAAGTTGGTATTGCTGTTTGATATACTATAGTTATATACTATTAAAGTTTTCATTAACATTTTGAATTAGGTTTTAGTTTTACATTTTCACTTTTCATTTTAGTTTAAGTTTTAGTATTTGATTAGCAATTAAAAATTTGAGTAATTTAGTAACTGTCTTTGTTTTCAATATTTCTTTACCTTTAATTTATTTTTATTTCAGTTTTAGTAACTTCAGTACTTTCGCTTAACCTTGTTTAATTTAGCTAGCTGCCAAGGCAACATTTCACATTTTTAAGTCTAATGAAGTCTTAAAGGTGCAGTATGTCATATTGAAATAGTGGTTGAAATGGGTATTGCAGACCAAATTTTAAATATTGGAGAGAGTTGTTTCTCCCACCCCTCCTCCTCAGACTCCAAGCTCATGCGGGTTGCCAGATTGAGAACACGCAAAAGGAAGAAGCACAACTAACAATGTTGGGCGATGAGTCTTACACTGTCAGTTGATGAGCGGATTTATCTGCGCTTTAATATTCCTCTGGTCTTAGAGTTTTTTTTTAGTCGGATGCCGAGGCTTTTTAGGTTGGGTAGCATCTGTGATCTCCGACCCAGTTCATTTGCTGGTTTCCAGGGCTGGAATAAGCTGTGTTTTCCACCAACTGCCAACCCGGGCAGTACGTGGAATCACACCGACCAAAACAAAAACAGACTTTCTGACACGGAACGCACATTTCAAAGTAGAGTAACTGGCTGTAGCATTGTTTGCTGGAGAAACAACTATGTGAACTTAGCATGTTTTCTAAATATCTGCAACATATTACGGTATTTTATGCTTTAGCAGAGTCAAAAAAATTACACATAGCACCTTTAATTTTTTTCCACTTAATATTTGATATCAGTTTTAGTTAGCAATAATAACACAGTTACCTGCACAGATATGGACTGGGCCTGCAGGTCACACGGAGGCTGGATTGGTCGAGGTCTGGTCACCAGCCAGTAGGTTGTGAGAGAGGCTAGCGCTCCTAAGCCTATGATAGAGGACGGAGAGAGGGAGAGAGAGGACAGAGAGAAGGACGAGGGCAGAGACGGAAGCAGCGTCTTCAGATTGTCCATTTCAGACTTGCTGTCTCCTCCACTGAAACGCAGGGAACGTAACCACTCCTGAAACTGCATAGCTGTGAGAGAGACACCGATTCACTGCCATTAACATCATCATAAGTTTCAAATACTTCATTCCCACATCTCTCTAAATTACATGAAAAAGAGCTACTGGATGAGAGCCGTAAAACACATCCACAGCAGCAAAATACTTTAGTAAACCCAAAAGTAGCCCAACCTAAAAGCATGCTTTGATAACTCCTGATCTGAGAAATATGTTGTTCAGCAATATTTTGTATATATTACAGAGTATACGGAACACAAAATAAGATATTTTGAAATGTTGGTAACCAAACAGCTTTAGTGACTCCTGACATCCATTAAAAAAAACAAAAAACAAAACGGAGGCATCTTTCAAAAAATCTTATTTTATATTCCACAGAAGAAAGTCAGGTGAACTATAAATATGCATAGGCATATTTATACATTAAATATGCATATGCATTAAATATATTTCTAAAATGGAACATTATTGTAAAGTGTTACCCATATATACATATACATAAAAAAACAACAACATCATCACTACTCAAATTTATTGGACTAAAATTAAAATTAAATGGAAAATAAAAAAAACTGATGAAAACAAATTTACACAAATTATGAGTATTTCAACCCTAATCTGCAAACCTGATAGCAAGCAGCAAAATAAAATAAAAAAGATGACTATTTGTTATCCTACTAGTTGCACAGAAATGACACATTTCACTTTTAACCATAGACAAAGAACATCACAACACTGTCATTATATTTATTTATGTCAAATATGGCAATTTTCACAAACTGGCCCTTTTAATAGCAGCTCTCCAATAACCACTATTAAAGCTGTTACTGTTAGAAATGTGCCATTTTTTTCCACTATAGTTGCACAGATAATAAATGGCTATTATCCACAACAGTCAAACAAACACAAGGCCTGACATGCTCTATAAGTCCTAATTCTATTTTTATTTGTTAAAGGGGGGGAAGATGCCCCACTTAAGAACAATGTGCATTTATATTTAAATTGTAACATTTAGATATAAGTTTAGCATGTGCAGGATGATGATGTATAAATGACTTTTTCACTTGTTTTATATTAAGTGCCAGTAATGTATTTTGACATAGGTTAAATAACTGAATAACCGATGACAGACAAAGCATAATCCCATTAAAAATACATTCATTGGAAAAAAAAAA